TTATGTAGAGAATTCTCATCCTGGACGTTAGTCGTAATGCAATGAAGACTTCGTCCAACCTGGGCTATTGAATCCATGTCCATTTATACACACCGTCCAGAACAATTTACTAATTTCGCACAAATATTTATCTCTGTCCTACATACATCAAAGATACATGTCTTCTACAAAAACGAATTGTTCTTATGTCTACCATACTGAACAAAATTTCTTCCCGCAGTTCTACACCAGAGCTCGAGCCGTATACACTACACTGGTACACAGACCAAGCTATAGGGCGCCGCCATTATGTTATTCGCGCCTCGACTTTTGAGGGCGCTACACACATTATTAAAGAAACATGCGCTTCAGACGCATCACGTCCAAAAGCGGCAGGCTACTTCTATTAAAATTTTAACTCCCCAAATTTGTAATTCAAGACCCATTCTTCACTTTGTTCGTTTTTGTACCAACTCGTATCTTACCAAATCTTCTCTAATGATCACTCGGGAACCTCTGAAGTTGGCTGACCCTGGTACCGGCTAGATCGATGAACTCTATGCTGTATAACCCTGGTGCGCTGGATAGCCGGGCTAGATAGCCCCATCGATGAACACTTGATGATCTTTTGACTGAAATAGTTGAGGCTAGCTTCATGATGATGGTGATGACATGTCGATCCGCGCAGCTGGATTATTAGACTGGTAGACCCGGTGTGGACGGTAATTCTGTCCCCCGGTAAAAGTGTCCGGGGGGACAGAATTACCTAGGTAAAAGTGTCCCCCCTGTCCCGTTAATTTTGTCCCCCTCCAGGTAATTCTGTCCCCTCCGGTTAATTCTGTCCCCCCTGGTTTTGCACGCATAAGTTGTTATATTGATGTTATTATAATAAATTCAGCGCACAGGAATACATTTTTAGATTTTTCCACCATTCATCAATAATTATCAAAATGAAATTAACGTTTAGATGTTAATCAACCGATCTATGTTTCTGCAAGAAGGCACGCGTAGTAATACTCAACCTATCGCTAGTGCGCACGCGCATCAGCCGCCGATACGCGTGTGACTGTCATGGCGGACTTCAATGAGGAGAATTGGCAAAATTATACGTGACACGGGTCACCGCGCCGCAGGCCTGCTGCTGGTGCAATGTTGTCCCCGTCCCCGGCCGCGGCCCTGGCGCGGCCCGTAGGTGCGGTATCGCGCGCACGCCCACCATGCAAATCGTTCGGTCCCGAAGTCGTCATCAAAACGGGAGTTGTGCTTTGACGTAAGCACCATTCCAAAATTTTGCAAGGCGCCGCGCAAAAACAGTTAATAACTTCACTAATATATAGTCTGGGTGCTAGACTTGTGACGTTGCACGGGGACACATTTACCAGGGGGGACACATTTAACGTCGTGCAGGGGGACATATTTACCTAGAGGGGGACAGGTTTACCTAGGTAAAAGTGTCCCCCCGGACAGATTTACCGGGTCACGACCCGGTAGATATGTCCAGGGGGACACATTTACCTGGGGGGACAGAATTACCTGCCACACCGGCATTGTATTTTACACCCCAAGCGACAAGGTGTGGTGGCTGACTTCAGATTACTCCTCAGTCGATAAAACCCAAAGGGTTCGGCGATGCAGGTACACCCCCCCTGCTACACCTGGCTGGGGCAGTAGAGGGAGCTTAACCCCTCACTGGTGTTAAACTAATAACAACCCCCTCACCTAAGAAGTATAACTCTCCTGAGTTATAGGGAACTTCACAGGTTACCGGATGTGCCTGTTCACTGGTGCTAATTTCGATATCTTTCTGGTTGGCACCTGCTTCGCTGACTTCTTCGTAGATTAGTTTCTTGGTTTTCTGCCAAAGGTTTATCTCGTCGTCCAGTCCTTCGCCGCGTTGTTACTTGTACTTTCGTCGAACTTCTTTTGTTTCTGTTTTGTTCTGCAGAGTCCATCCTGATGTAACCGGGGAGAGTGGAATTTATTAGTTTTTAAAATGTGGCACTCTCCTTATGTCCGAGGGGTTCCACTAAAAAATGATTTGGGAAGAGCGAAGTTTCTGTAGTCTCAATAATATGAAATGTTTTATTTATAATACAAATTTGAGACAATAATTTTATATACAAATGATCAGGTACAGTATTTACAAAAAGAATTACAGTATATATATGAACTTTGGGTATATCAACCGACTCTTTGTTAAGTATATAAAAACAGAACTTTGTTGGGTCTATAAAAACAGAACTTTGTTGGGTCTATAAGAACGACAGTCAAATAGGGAAATAGGCTAATGAAGTAGCTCCAAGGATATTATCTGAAATGCATAAAAACAATAAATGTCTAATGAATTATGGGAATTACTGTGGCATAAAATGACTGTTGCCCAAATGGAGAATTATTTAAATGGCAATTATGCAAGAATATGAATATTTTTTATACATGTAGTGTAATTTTAAATCCAAAAATAGAAATGAATTATTCACCAAGTTATGTTATAAAATTAAATAAGAATATAATACCATGCCTTAATAACAAATTCCCGAATGATCATAGCAATAGAAAACTGATAGTTTTGGGAAAATGGGAAAGTCTATTTCAAATGATAAATGAGAACGTAAATATTATAGCAACACTAAAATTTAAGTTGAAGTTAGCGTACTTGTGTTGCTCCTAAGTTCCAATTTGTGTTTGTTTCAAAAGGAAAATTTGAAGTTCACAAAAATAAAGTACTTGATAACATTGTTTTCCGAAATGCCGAAAAATATTAAAATAGTAGGAAATTGTGTTTAAATAAATGGACGGTGTTTACCCGAAATGTTTAAAGTATAAAATAAAGTCAACAGAAAATCCTTTTTGCCATCTCATGCAAGAATTAAATAGAGAATCATTAAAATCATTCTCCAAAATACTTGCAAATCACGACGACAGATTTGTTTCAAAAGTTAATAATCAGTCGTGATTACAAGACAAATTTCCGGCCGTGTCCGTTTTGACGGCCTTTAATTCTGGCAATAAACCAACATACAAAAGACCAGAATGTTTCATACATGATGGCATAAAAAGATTTTAGGCATAAAAATGTTTTAGGCATAAAAATGTTTTAGGCATAAAAATGTTAAATATCAGACAAGGGATTTACTCACCACTTGGGAGGATCTACGCTCATGCCTACTCAGTGTCCGATGTGAAAATACAATGTAGATGTAAATATTTTACTGCTATAGGGAGCCTCTCTCAAAATTGTAATACAAGTGAAGAGTGTAAGCGCTCGTAAAAGATGGTCTGAATGCAACGATGTGTTGGATCGAAATCAAAGTTATTTCACAGCAGGCCCTACAAGAAAACTATACCGAAACGCCCGGAATGTCAACTATTCCTCTTAAACAAAGCGCGTTGGAATGCAAAACTCGCATGCTCGCTACGCCCATCGCATCGTTGAGCAAAATTCTAGGCGGCGCGCGCTGTTAAAAAAAAGTTTAGTTGGCCGCGAGAGGGCGCTTGGCAAAAAGCATGATCGCAATGGCTGCTCACATGTAAAATGACATTAACACGAAGTTATAAAAGTTATGAAATGAATGCTGGAGTACATGGAGTAAGGAACCTGTCGGGTAAAAGTAAGTACTGCAACCCGACCTGGTTACACTCACCCCCTAATTTTAAAGAAAAAAAGAATTTTTATAGAAGGGAAATCAAAGTTATCAGAGAAATACGCAAAGTCGAATTGGAAAGGTAAAATGAGTGACCATCACAGTGCACTGCAATCGTCTTGTTCATGTCCACAAATATGTACATGTACTCTTCGACCACATGATGATAATAATAATGAAGGAAACTAGATCTTGTAGAATCAGGAGTCCATCCTTAGTCTGTCACTAAGGCAGAGTTTATCTCATATATAGACAAATAGAACTCTCCAAGAAGGTTATTTCCTTAATAATTGCAAAAATTTGCAAAATATAGGCAAATAAATGCCAAGAATAGAAAATACCATGACGAAGCGTATTAGACGTATATATCCAATCCAGGATATCCCTGGCCTGAGTTTATCTCGTTGGACCGTCTTAGTAACCTCGTATGGATTCAATAGAAGTGATCAACAAGAGACATGAAAGAATGAAGAAAAGAACAAGAATGGCAGCAAGGTCATAAAGGTAAGATTATTTTCTAATGATGTTGTTTTCAGAGTAGAAAATCGCGATTGCAGTAATGACACATTTGTTTTAGTGGTGTCTAAATATGGGAATTGGAAATAATGAGACAAGATTTCAAGACTGAGTAAAAGATCACAAGTGTGTTCTTAAATACAGATGAAAAGATTAAAGATACAGAAAGGCAATCACAGTAGGATATAAGTAGTGATCAAATCATGTCATAAAAATACTCTTTTTTTAAAAACTAATTATATACATATATCATTCAGAACTTCACTATCCATCAGTATAGTTCTGAAAAGTCTGCAGCCAACCATAGAGTCTAGCTATATGATCGATCAGCCACCGAAAATAGAGTTTGCACCCGATAAGTAAGGTGACAGATAGAACAATCCAAAGCAGATGGAAATAGCCGAATGTCTGTCCAATATTCAGGCCTATCAACATGCCCATGGCACTGACCAGCAACATTATTATTTGTCTGTCGCTAGTGAGAAGCAGATGAAGTTGTTGGAGGACAGAACGAGGTAGCCTGTGGACGTTGCTATGTTTCCCTCTGGTGGATCGAGTGGAACGTCGTATGGTTGGATCTTTAGGAGGAGGAGGCTGTGCATCTTGCTGTTGGGGAGGAGCAGTATCTTCATCTTCCTCAGGTAAGAACACTTCAACTTCATATTCAGTGTCTGATGATGAAGTTGTAGAATCTGAAAGTATTTCCTCTTGAGAAGGAGGACTAGGAAAAGATGGAGAAGTAGCTAGCTCACCCAAAGGGGTAGAAACAAGTTTAAGTTCAGAAGAATTCACAGTTTTCTGCCCACCAGAGCCATCCGCTAATTCGATGGTGTTCACAAAGGAATCCTCTGAATGGTGACGGATAACTTTGTAGACGTCAGGAAAGTAGTGATCTTGGATTTTATTTCTACCTTGGTGGTGTTTACGAAGATAGACAAGATCGCCTACTTTAAACCTGTTGGGATTCGTTCTACGGTCAAAATGTTTCTTGCTCTTCCCTAACTCATGTTGTGTTCTTCTTTGTGCCAGGTGATATGCCTCCTTAAACCGGGATTAATGTAGAGCAACCCAGTCATTGGTGATGTCTTCAGGTAGGTCTCTGTTTAGTAGGAGATCTACTGGCAGCAAAGGCTCTCGGCCAAACATAAGATAGAAAGGGGAGAAACCTGTAGATGAATGCTCTGTAGCATTATAAGCAAAGAGAAGTTCTGATAGGTATTTTGGCCAGGCTTGTTTCTGCTTTGCAGACAAAGTGCGAAGAAGATTATGCATAGTGCGGTTAATTCTTTCACACTGTGCATTGCCCTGGGGATGGTAGGGAGTAGTTCTGGACTTGGTGACGTTGTACAGCTTGCACAGATTTGCAATGAGTTCTCCCTGAAATTGGCGTCCTTGGTCAGAGTGAATCCGATGTGGGACTCCATACTTGAAAAACCACTCTTTTACTAGAGCATTTGCTGTAGTTTTGGCTGTCTGATCCTTGGTAGGGACTGCCAGAGTGAATTTGCTGAAAACATCAGTGATGACAAGGACATTCTCAGTTCTATCAGACGCCTGCTCCAATAAAGTAAAATCTATAGCTATTGTCTCCAGTGGTCTAGAGGCAACTAAATGACCAAGAGGGTTTCTCACCGATGGTGAGGGGAACTTAGCTACAGAACAACGTTCACACTCCCGAATCCACTTCTTTATGTCCGTATACATGAATGGCCAAAAACAACGTCTACGAACTAGAGACATCGTCCTCTCTTCACCTTGATGACCAAAGTCGTTGTGCAGGCTAGTCAAGATTTTAGATCTTAAGCTAGATGGAAGAACCACTTGGTGCAACTCACCAAGGACAGGATCTTGAACTTCCCTGCAGAGAACACCATTGTCAAGTTTCAGACGTTTAGCTTGGCTAAACAAAACCTTGACTGCCGACGATTCATGCTTTCTCGACGATTTATCTAAGTTGTCTGAACAGTGAAACTGTAAAAACCTGTGAATGTCAGGATCAGCCTGCTGTAATTTGGCTAATTCAGATGCAGACAGAGATGGAAAAGAAGCTATAGTGGAACAAACATCTGCTTGGACTCGAGCTGGACAAAGTTCACCAACAGTGTGGAATATTTTCACTTGCAAGGTTGCAGGCAAAGAAGTTGAAGAGGCATTGCACTGGCTTTCCTCTGCTATCACTTCGGAGACACTGCCTTTATCGCTCTCTATCTGATGTTGACGAGAAAGTCCATCTGCATTGGAGTTGACACGGCCAGGGCGATATATGATGTTGAAATTGTAAGCTGCCAGAGTGGCAACCCACCGTTGCTCCGTAGAACCAAGTTTCGATGTATCGAGATGGCTTAACGGGTTATTATCCGTCCTGACAGTGAAAACTGAACCATAGAGGTAATCTTTAAACTTCTCTGTGATAGCCCACTTCAGTCCTAATAATTCTAACTTGCGAGAGCTGTAATTTTCCATGTTCCTCTCATTTTCTCGCAGGCAACGACTGGCAAAGGCCACCACCTTCTCCTCTCCTCCCTGAACTTGAGACAAGACAGCCCCTAAGCCGGAAAGACTCGCATCTACATCCAGTATGAAAGGTAAGTCAAAATCAGCAAATGTCAGGATAGGAGGTTCTACAAACTTGGATTTTAGTTCCTAAAAGGCAGTCTGACAAGCTTCTGACCACTGTTTCCGAAACACCTTTGGAGTACAATGTTGAGTCATACCAACCAAAGCATGGAGCGGTCTAGCTATTCGGGCAAAGTCTTTGATATAGCGCCGGTAATAGCTTGCAAAGCCTAAAAAGGACCGAAGCTGCTTGGTCGTACGAGGCACAGGCCATTCTACGATCGCCTTCGTCTTGTCAGAGTTGGTAGAAATGCCATCTTCAGACAGAGTATGACCCAGATAGTTGATCTGCTTGCAGAAAAGATGACACTTAGAGGGTTTAAGCTTCAGGTTGTGTTCTTTTAACCTGCAGAAAACAGTGTCAAGATATCGCAAGTGCTCATCGAAGGTCTTGGAGAAGATGCACACATCGTCAAGGTAAACAAAAATGAGTTGATATATGAGATCACCCATGCATCTCTGCATCAACCTTTGAAATGTTGCAGGTGCACCACAAAGACCAAAAGGCATCCGGGTGTATTCATACAAGCCCTTAGGTGTGATAAAGGCTGTCTTCTCCCAATCAGACTCTCGAACCCGCACTTGATGGTATCCGCTGGCCAAGTCTAATGACGAAAAGAATTTCGCACCAACAGGAGCGTCAATGAGTTCGTCGATGCGAGGGAGAGGAAATGCATCCTTCTTGGTGACAGCATTAAGGCGCCGGTAGTCAACGCACATGCGGAGGCTACCATCCTTCTTTCTAACGAGAACTATGGGTGAGGCGTATGGACTGTGACTCTCCTGGATGATGTTGTGGGTGAGTAGCATCTGTATATGCTTCTTGACTTCCTCGTACTGATTGGGGGGTATTCTTCTGTAGGTTTGTGAAACTGGTTGAGAATTGGTAGTTTCAATGTGATGCTCAACAGTGTCAGTATCAGCCAAGTCAAAGTCATGACTAGCAAAGACATCTCTGTGTTTCTCAAGCAGATCCTTGATTCTGTTCTGTTGTTCTAGGGTGCCTTCAAAGCCGGAGAAGTCTACTGGAACTGAAGGAGAGGCAACAGGGACTTCTGCTTTATTGACTCTAATCTCTTCAGAGGGTTACTTCAAAATCAACTTTCAATACATCATCAACCACACGATCAACTGCTCGGAGGACACCTACTCGGGTTCTACGACGCAAGGTAAAACCTGAGCTAGAAATGTTGTCAATCCTGACTGGAACAGTCCTGCCAGCCTTGACCAGAGAAGATGCCACAAGGATACCAACTGGAAGGTGATCACTGTTACGGAGTGGCTCAACAACCGCTGTTTGAAAGGACACATGTTGTGAAGTGGAACACATGACAGTAGCAGAAGTGTTAGCAGGAATGTAGACAGGCTGATTGGAAGATCGCACAAAAGACACAATATCTTGCTCTCTGGCCTGAGCATCTATCTGAAGACAGAGAACAGACTGCAAAAAGTGTAGAGGAGATGTTGTGGCTAAGCTGGCATCACCCAAAGCGCTAACCAACGGAGCTAATACATTCATCCCAAGGAGACTAGTTGTTTCTCCTTCTTGATGTCAACATCAACTGGATCGCGGACGACTAGAAAACCCATCTGAGGCAAAATGATCCCATCACAATTCAGGTCGAACTCCAAATACCCAACATATGGTATCTCCAAGCCATTGGCAGCTGTGATCCGCAAACAGGGGCCGTAAGACCTCAACTCGGTACCTTTTGGTTTGAGATGGTTCACGAAAAACTCTTCAGTTACAGTAGAAACCATTGAGCCTGTGTCAAGGAGACACTTTGTCTCAACAGTCCCTAGTCTAAGTGTGAGTGTGGGACAACTACCAACAACATTAGAGGTGGAAGGACTCGCCTCAGCAAAACAAGAACTACAAAAAGGGTCCGTAGTTTCCCTCTCTTCGAAGGGACCCTGGTCCGAGAGAGGAGTTAGTTTCCCTGACTTGGAGGGGATTTCGTTGCTTTCCTCAACTCTTCTATCGTACCATGTGCTTCTTTGAGTTGTCGCTTGAAGCACCTCTCTGCTGTGTGTCCTGCCTTGCTACAAAATGTACAAGTTACCTTCGTCTGCTGTCTGCCAGTAGAGTTATTGGGCTTGGCTTGGGCTAATTGCTGGACAAGGGTAGTCAATTCATCCAGTTGTTTCTGCTGATGATCGATCTGCTCTTGTTGTTTGACCATGATGTCAAGTAATGATCTGGCACTCGGTTCTTCTTTTGCAGATTGTCTACTGATGGTCACAGGATTGGAAGAAGAGGCAGCCCCTTCACTCTCCTCAGCCCACTCGATGGCTTCCGTCCTCAAGGCAAAGAAGTCGATGCCAGGTGTACCACGAAGCTTACTTTTCAAGTACTTTCGAAGTAGAACATCGTGGACCCCCTCTGCAAACTGGTCTTTTAAGAGATGCTCTCGCTTCTCCATGAGCTGAGGGCACTTCCTGGCAGCCTTAGTGAACAGGTCAAGAAGGGAGTGAAAGATGTTAAGGACTCTTCCTGTGTCTGCTTTCGTTCAAAAAATGTCCGTTGCAGACGAACAGATGAGCCATGATCCCCAAATGTGTCTCGTAAGACAGAAAATAGTGCTTCCAAACTACCTACTTTGTGGTATTTGACCTCCTCTCTAGCTGAACTAGTTAGATACGGGAGGGCAAAATCTATTTCTGCCTTCTTAGACAAGGGTCGGGCCTTCACAGCAGTACTGACATCATAAATCCAGTCCTCTAACTTAATATCTGAAGATTTTCCAGAAAAAGACTGTAATTTATTTTGGCTAGGAACCAACAGATAAGTCGGACTTTTGACTTTGGAAAATTCCTGTGTTTGATGGAATAAGGAACGCAAGTCTTCAAGTTCATTCATGAGATGTGACACACTAGGACCTCCTTCTGCCCCCTCCATTTCCTTAGGCATGACTAGTGTTATGATAGGAAAACCTGCTGCTTATTGGGGATAAAAGGTTAATATATGTACAAAAATATGTGGTTTTGCTTACAAATGCCTGTACGCAGCAAGCGCAACCTAATATGCAACCTTAACGCTTAGCAGCAGTGCACTTACACAGTCCACTAAGTCTAACCCAAGCACGGTAGATCACGTGCAGCTAGATGACAGGTGAATCACGGGGTGGAAGTAGGGATGGATGGCATGAACGTAGTCACCCAAGTGGTAGTATGTCTCAAATCTGCATGCACAGAAAAATATAAATGAAAAGACATCTGCCACAGGGGCATTAAAATGTTCACACCAAAAAGACTTGTGACAAAGCTCAAATAGAGACTATGAAGAATAATCAAGAATTCCAAACACTTAAATAGAAATTCCAAAAATTCCAAAAATTCCAAAGGTGATACTGAAATGCTATAAAACAGCAAATCTAGAGTTAAGGTCACTGAAATACCAACTCTTAGAATGTTATGAGGAGAGACAAATTCTTGGATGCTCCTTAAATTGCTATAAAAGAGCGAATTTAGAGCTAAGGAGCAGGTTACTATAACACCAACTCTCTAGAATATTATGAGAAGAGACAAAATTCTTGGATGCTCCTTCTATTCTATATTAAGTGCTAATTTTACAAATGCAGTATACAAATGACAATATCAATTTTCTCACATAATATGTACAATTTTGTTTTGTTCTTTGTCTTTTTTTCTAGGTTTTCAGAGAACAATATCAATGCAATGAATCACAACAAGCAAGTAATATTACCACCACCAGCAAAAATATGAAAATGAAGCTACTACAACCCACTCCAAAGACCAATCGTCGCTGTCGGATCGATGGACGGCCACCAAGATGGAAGGAGTTTGGATTTCGCCAAAAGAAGACAGTTCAGTGGGGTCTAATGGCAGCAGATGACACACTCCTGCAGACCACTCTGGAGGTCAGTCAGTGGTTCTCTGGCGGTGGGACGGCACCAAGAAGATGCAGTCAATTGGACGACCGTAATGACCAGTTCAGGAACAACCGTCCAGATGCAACAGGTACAGTCCAGCCGGAACAAGATTCAGTGCTTCAGCGGTGTCTAAAGGCAGCACCAGAGTCTCTTGGAGAAAAATGTGTGTCTTTCAAGATGGCACCAAGTAAGGAAGGCGACAGGAACCTGGGCCGGTACACCCCTCCTTAGTCAACCTGGTCTGGTACCCAACCTCCGCTGGGTCACTATGCCAATGCCGAGCTTAGCCTGGACACCCAATCGTCATGAGCAGAACAACGCCACAGAGCTCCCGGTCTCATCAGTGCCGGGCGAATTCCCTATATATTTGACTGTCGTCTTCCCTGATTTAATTTATCTAATTTCGCTCCCAAATTTACAATAAAGTGGATAGCAAAGCTATCCTGCCGACTACGCCAAGTGTAACCGGGGAGAGTGGAATTTATTAGTTTTTAAAATGTGGCACTCTCCTTATGTCCGAGGGGTTCCACTAAAAAATGATTTGGGAAGAGCGAAGTTTCTGTAGTCTCAATAATATGAAATGTTTTATTTATAATACAAATTTGAGACAATAATTTTATATACAAATGATCAGGTACAGTATTTACAAAAAAGAATTACAGTATATATATGAACTTTGGGTATATCAACCGACTCTTTGTTAAGTATATAAAAACAGAACTTTGTTGGGTCTATAAAAACAGAACTTTGTTGGGTCTATAAAAACGACAGTCAAATAGGGAAATAGGCTAATGAAGTAGCTCCAAGGATATTATCTGAAATGCATAAAAACAATAAATGTCTAATGAATTATGGGAATTACTGTGGCATAAAATGACTGTTGCCCAAATGGAGAATTATTTAAATGGCAATTATGCAAGAATATTGTAGCGGAACAGTTAATATTGGCGCGCTAGGTTCACCGTAGTTTAGTTGGTTGGTACGCGGACTTCTGTCCGTTGTACAGCGCGCGAGTAGCGTGGCTGGTTGGTACCCAGCGCGGGTATATAAGCGCGTGTCGCGCGCGCACTCAATCTCTTCCATTTCACTCGTCCATGGATTGCACTCTCCCATTGCACTGCTCACTTTGTGTGCTTTAGCTGTTAATTGTGGCGCGAAGCGTAGCACAGTTCCCGCTCAGAGACTTGGAGTTGCTGAAGCGTGTGTAGTACAGCTGTGGTCAGTCTTTCACTCAGGAAGAGCACTGGTTTAGTTCCGGTGAGTGCAGGGATTAGGAAATCTGGTTGGTACGGGAAGCATTCCAGTTCTCGACGATTATTGGGCAGGACACACCTAAGTAGGACACACCTACGTAGGACACACCTTAGTAGGACGCACCTAAGTAGGACGCATCTTATTGGGTCTCCAAGTAGTTATAATAAAGCAGTGAAGCCCTAAATACCCGAGTGTCTGATCTATTCATTGGACGTTAACCCTTCCACGAGTGTGTTCGTGAGGTTTGCGTGAGAGCGCGAGTGAGTGTGTTCCCTGAGCGCCTGGCGGTAGACTGCCCCAAAACGGACCTGTTCCCCTGGCCTTCCCCACAGCCGCTCGTCGGGTCGGCAGAGAGCAATATCCAAGGCATCGTCGACACAAGACCGCCACAAATGGTGTCAGAAGTGGGATAGGCGCCAGGATTACACAACACAGAACCCATCACGAACTACGAGCAAACAATCACCTACCTAGGACAGAGTCACCCAGATAGGCGTACGCCATGGACAAGAAACAAGCAAACCAACCTAGACCGGTACTAATAGAGGAACTGACCGAGGAGCGGCTGAAACTTCCCAGTACGCGGAGGAGCAACAACGCCTAGAAGTTGAGACTGAGAAGCTCTGGGAAAAATTGGGTCAACTCCATGGACAGCTAGACAAACTGGAGACGAGAAGGGTGCGACTTGAAAGTCGGCAGGTGGATGCAGAGGCAGGTGCCCAAGTGGAGTTACCAACAACGAGTTTCAGATACCTTGACACTGTAAGAGATGCATCAAGTAGCCTGATATCATCGTCAACACCTATGCCAAGGTGCAGACCTACGCCAAAACCCAGAACCAGGTATCCTACGCTATCGTCTTCATTACTGGTACCTACAAATACACCAGTCACATCTTCGACATCGGTAGAAGCGTCCCATCAAGAAATCAAGAGTAATGCTGATACAGAAAAAGGGTGGTCAATGGAGAGAAATTTCTCAGCAGGTGCAGCCGGAAGAGCATCAGAGCCAGAAAAGCAAGTTTCAGGCGAGGACAGGTCTAGCCTAGATAGGCAAGAGCCGGTGGTTGAAGTGAAGAGAGAAGGCCGTTCGCCTGCAGAGTTGAAGCGACCTAATATCGTACCAGATCGGTACAACGGCAAGACTGTATGGAGGGATTTTTGGCAGCATTTTGAAGCGTGCAAACTCGCTAACGGGTGGACGGACGAACAAGCTAAAGTCTTCTTGGCTGCGAGCTTGCAGGGGATAGCGGTGAAGGTGCTATCAAACAGTCCGGATGGTAGTCAAACGATGACGTATAAAGAATTAAAAGACAGGCTGGAGAGGAGATTCGGACCGGGCCAATTGTCGGAAAACCACTTGATGGAGCTGCGTTGCAGACGACAAAAGGAAAGGACCAAAGGAAACACTGAGGGAGCTAGGTCAGTCAATCAGGGAGTTGGCCACGCTGGCATATCCTGAGATAGCAGACGAAGGGAAGGATCGCCTAGCGAGAGGTCACTTTTCGGACGCAATAGAGGACCAGGCCATCCGTGAAGGAATCTTCAGGACACAGCCAAAGACACTCGATGAGGCTATAAGGGCAGCAATGGCGACAGAGAGTTTCCTCAAGGTGGAACAACAGAGGCCCAGTCGCAACCCAAAGCAAGCACGAGTACTAGAGGGACAAAATGACTCTTCGGTGGAAAAGCTGGAAGATTTCGTAAGAAATAGCCAGAAACGGATGGCAAAGGCCATACAAAGAGCTCAAGAAGAGACAAAAGCGTGGGTGGCTAACCTGGTGCAAGGGAGACCTACAGGTGCAGGGATCGACAAGCCAAACATGACAGAAGGCGTTCCGAGTACCTCCTACAGGAGACGACCTAGAGAGGACATTGTGTGTTTCAGGTGCGAGAGGAAAGGACATTTCGCTCGTGACTGTAAATGGCCGCCAGCAAAGAGACACGGGTCGGGAAACGGATTGCAGCTGACCCCAGGGCCCGAGGGAAAGCTGGGAGGAGAAGAGGGCCACAAGACCGTCGTCCACGAGACAAACCAGTAGACAAGGGTCATGTAATTACCAATTCAATTGCAACAGCAGAAAGAGTGAAAAGGGGCATGTTTGTACCAGCAGTGGTGAGGGGACAGCAGGCGAAGCTTCTGGTGGACACCGGGGCAACAGACACGTTTCTGTCATCTACTCTCTACCACAAGATCTCACCTGAGAATAGGCCTCATCTTTCTAATGAGGGTTCGTGCATTAAAAATGCTGATGGTTCGCGGATAGTGACGTTAGGTAGCGCCTGGGTGGAGTTACAGGTGGGAAGAACCACACATCCAGTG